CACCTACCTCTGCCCCATGTCACCTACCCCTGCTCTGTGCCACCTACCCCTGCCCCATGTCACCTACCCATGCCCTGTGCCATGTCATCTAGCCCTGTCCCATGTCACCTACCCCTGTCCTGACACCTACTCCTGCCCCATCACCTACCTCTGCCTCATCACCTACCCCTGTGTAGTGTCACCTACCCATGCCCTGTGCCACTTAGCCCTGTCCTGACACCTACCCCTGCCTGGTGTCACCTATCCCTGCCCCATCACCTACCCCTGTCCTGACACCTACCCCTGCCCTGTGCTACCTACCTCTGCCCCATGTCACCTAGCCCTGCCCCATCACCTACCCTTGCCCTGTGCCACCTACCCCTGCCCCATGTCACCTACCCTGCCCCATGTCACCTACCCCCGCCCCATCACCTACCCCTGTCCTGTGCCACCTGCCCCTGCCCCATATCACCTACCCCTGCCCCATCACCTACCCCTGCCTGGTGTCACCTACCCCTGCCCTGTCACGTACTGCTGCCCCACGCCAGCTCTCCTGCACGATGTCACCTTCCCTTTCCCTCTGTCACTCACCCTACCTGACGTCACCCAGCCCTGCCCCATCACCTACCCCTACCCTGTGCCACCTATCCCTGCCCTATGTCATCTGCTTCTGTCCTGTGCCACCTACCCCTGCCCCGTGACACCCTTGCCCTGTGTCACCTACCCCTGTCCTATATCACCTACCCCTGCCCCATCACCAGCCCCTGCCCTGTGTCACCTAGCCCTGCCTTGTCACCCTGCCCCGGCCTGCCACCTCCTCCTGGCTCTCACTCCATCCCTTCCCCGAGTCCCTGCATCCCTTCCTGTGCCACCCAGCCCTGTGTCCCCACACCTTGTCACCGTCCCCCTGCCTCCCCTGGGCTCCTGAGGGCAGCTCAGGGCTTGCTGTTCCCGGCAGGAGGAGCAGGATGGAGGCAGCCCCAGTGCCACCACCACCGAGGGACCATGCAATGGCCACACTGGGGCTGTCACCCACAACCGGGGACATGAAACCTGGACACCACATCCGTCATTTGGAGGAAAAACCCTGGGATGAAGGCTTTGCCATTCCTCCTGGAGGGGTGGGAGGGGGTTGGGGTGTCTCCTTGGAGGGCTGGGAGCGATGCTCAGCCCAAAAAAGGGACATTTCTCACCCTGGCTCCCGCTGCCACTCACTGGCTCCTCGGGGAGGATTTCCTTTTCCCGAGTTTTTCCCAAACAGCAGGGAAATTTCCAGGCCCAAACAAACAGCCACACGTGGGGTTTGTCACCGGCTCCGGCGCAGCCTGCCCAGGGGAAGCATTGCCATGGCTACTGGGGGGGGGGGGGGGGGGGGGGGGGGGGGGGGGGGGGGGGGGGGGGGGGGTGGGGGGGGGGGGGGGGGGGGGGGGGGGGGGGGGGGGGGGGGGGG